ACTTATAGCTGCTGCCTCTTCAAAACAGTCACTTAATGACTGCCTGCACCTACAAAGACATGGGTTACCCTCTTCTTGACTGCACCCTGCACTAGTTAAATACACCGAGGGACAATGAATAACATCTCTGTGCAGGATCGCTGATCACCTCACAACTGTGCAAAGAATAAAGACACCCATCAGTTTTGGACCTGCTCATTGCACAGGACCTCACCTGATAAGACGCTGCACCTGCTGTAGCTCTGTCAGTAGGCAAAGATGCAGACTGTGAAAGTCTACAGACTTCTAACATGTCTCATTAGGACACTGGAGAATCTATCTGATGGCTTATAACTGACTATTTAATTAAAGTAATGTATAACAGACATTGTTAGTGTCCACTCCTTCAGCGGGAGCCACAGTGGTGTTTAACAAGCAGCGCAATTCAATTAAAAACAAACAAAAAGCCAATTTGATATAAGGTGACAAAGTACAAGTAGGTCCTGTTTTAGGATTGTACATGAATGCTTATAGAGCAAGAAAAAAGGTAAAATACTTTTAGAAAAGAAAGAATCTAAATTTTTTTTACTGATGTTCATCAGGGGAAATGCAAAGACGTTAAATAATATTAAAACATCTCAGACCCTCCTGCTCTCCCAAACAGAGATCCAAGGGAAAAATGATTGGTCAGCGGACAGTGATTTCTACCCGTTCATCTCCAAACTGTAACCTCTCTACAGCACAAGTTACCATGCTGATGCACCCTGTTAAGAAGTGGACCACCTTCATAATACAGAAAACCAGGCTTAGCCCTGAAGTTACTCGGATAAACCCAAATTTTGCTTCCCGGTTCAGGCCGGATCTTTTTGATCCCGACTTCTTCCTAAATCAGCCTGTTAAAAACGTTCCGCTTCCAGCTAGTTTAAATCTTATCTCCCTGTCAGAGTTTAAACTGTTGCTGCTGAAGTCCACAGACTGTGATATAGGCGTCCCTCACTGATCAACACAAGGCCCCCTGATTGTTACTCAGCACTGTAACACCAATTTTAATCTTACAGGATGCATGACAACAAAATAAAAAGTGCAATGTGATAAAAGAGTTCAGATCAGAAATGCACAGCAGCAGAAACTTTCTATACTCAATAGTTCAGAGTTTGTGCAGTGGGAATAGAGCAGAGAGTAGCTATGAAAATGAGAGCGAAAGACAAGGAAGAGGGAAAAAAATAACTTTTTGGAGTTTAAAGATTCAGAGCTATGCTGAATGCGCCGACACTGAAACACCGTTTTCATGCTTCACTCGGGGAGAGAGAGAGACTCCAGCAGACGTTGCAGCACTGAGCTGCAGATTCTGTTACAATATGTGCAGGCAAGTACATTTAGATGCAGATTAACTTCATGCAGCAGAGAAAACACAAGGCGATGCCAGCCGAGTCAAAGGTCACAGCACAAAAATAGAAGCGAATAAAACTGACTGCAGCACCGCAGCTTAAACCCTGTCAGAGGATTACTGCAAAGTCTGACACCAGTACAGAGCCTGTGATCCACCGGGTAATAACCAGCTCCATAAGCTCTAAATGGAATAACTGTATTTTACTATAGTAACCCCTCAACCCCACCACCACCACCACCACACAGCAGAGAGACTGGGCACCAGTAAATATGACTTGTATAGCAGCTTGTACTTGATCTGCACTATAAAGTGTGACATATTTTAGTTTTTATTCCACTGATTTAATCTGGCATCTGTGTATAGTTTACAGGTTAAACACAGAATATGTGAACCAAAACAAAAGGTGTTTGGATTGAACCTCTGTATAAAAGTCACTGCCATTTTACAGACTTTGGTTCATGGGTTTCAACCAAATGAAAGCTCCTCTTTTACAAGAACGAAAGTTTTAAGTTCTCACTTTCATTTTCTTTCAAACATTAACAAAAAGCCTGAAACAGCTCTTTGTTTTTAACATAACATTAGTTAAATTACTATCAATGAAGGAAATGAGTTTAAGGAGTCATATTTATAGAAATATTATGAACGTGATTGTTACGTATTCAACTTCAACTGCGACAAAAACAATTCAGCTACACACTCATCTGCCACTTTACTAGTTACGCCTGTTCAATTGCTTGTAAACGGAAGTATCTAATCAGCCAATCACATGACAGAAATTCAACGCATTTAGGTATGAGGACACGGTCAAGACAATGTGGTGATGTTCAAACTGAGCATCAGAGTGAGAAAGAAAAGTGATTTAAATTACTTTCAACGTGGCTGGCCTGAGCATTTCAGAAACTGCTGATCTGCTGGGATTTTCCCAGACAAACATTTCTAC